GCTCCCCTGGGCTGTGCTCCCCTGGCTGTGTCTCCTGGGGGTGCTCCCCTGGGCTGTGCTCCCCTGGCTGTGTCCCCTGGGGGTGCTCCCCTGGGCTGTGCTCCCCTGGGGTGCTCCCCTGGCTGTGCTCCCCTGGGCTGTGCTCCCTTGGGAGTGCTCCCCTGGGGGTGCTCCCCTGGCTGTGCTCCCCTGGCTGTGTCTCCTGGGGGTGCTCCCCTGGGCTGTGCTCCCCTGGCTGTGTCTCCTGGGGGTGCTCCCCTGGGCTGTGCTCCCCTGGGCTGTACTTCCCTGGGAGTGCTCCCCTGGGGGTGCTCACCTGGCGCGTGCTCGTGCTCGTGTTTCTTCAGGTGCCGGTCCAGGTTGGTCTGCTGCCCGAAGCAGCGGCTGCACAGGTGGCACTTGAAGGGCTTCTCCTTGTTGTGGATGTTGCGGACGTGCCGCTGCAGGTTGGAGGAGATGCTGAAGGACCGGTCGCAGTACTTGCACCTGCGGGACACACACCCTCAGAGGCGGCCCCGCGGCCGGCGGCCCCGCCCCGTGGTCCTGAAGGCACGGCAAGGCCGTGCCAGGAGCAGGTATTCGACCTTGACCTGCGGGCAGCGAACCATGTTGGGGTGTGCCCTAGCTGGAGGTGGGGCACCAGGTGGGGCCGTGCCCCTGGGTGTGCAGCGCCCAGACTCCCCAGCGTCTGTGTCCTCCCGGTGGTGCGTCACCCAGCTCGGTGGCCTCACGCCTGGCACGTCCACCCACAGGGCGACGTGCTCCCAGCAGCCTCAAGGGGGCAGCATCTCACCATGGAAAGACGCTCAGCTGGTCCAGGGAAGGGGGGCCAGTAGACAGCTCCCCGCAGACCCCGACCTGGCGCGGGGGGAGGACAGCTGGGTCCTCGCGGGCCCTCGGGCTAGTCCCACCCCCCACTGGGTCCTGAGCTTGCTACATCGGTTGGGGGGAGGGGGCTCCCAGCCTTGTGGTCCGGCTGCTTCCTCTGCAGGGACCACGATGACCACAGGGTCCCCTTTGACTGGGGGGCAGCCCAATGTTCAGCTCATCTGTGTGCCCCGTGGGCACCACCCGCAGCCCGCGCGGTGCAGGGGCTTCTGCCGTGCCCGCCAGAACATTCCGCTGACGCCCCTTATCCGAACCCCGCGCAGACTGAGAGGGAACAGCCGTGCCGCACAGCGGAGGCACCTGTGACGTGACGCCCCCGTGGGTGTGGGACCCTCGGGCGGGGCCTGGCCTTCACGCCCACTCTCACGACCCCCATACTGAGGGTGAAACAAGAGCTAGCGACGTGAGCTGTGAGCGTGGGAAGCAAGACACCCCGCCAGACACAGGGTGAGAGCCAGGGCCCCAGAGGGTGACCGGAAAGTCACCGTGCTGCCCCCTCCTGGTGGTGGAAGACCAAGCAAGGCCGGTGACTGACAGGTGCTCCCACCTGCACTGTGTCCAGCTAAAGCCGCACTGTGTGTATGTGCATGTGTGTGTGCACACGGTGCACGTGTATTATTGTGTACACGTGTGCCCATGCACACGTGGGTGCACACGGTGCAGGTGTATTATTGTGTACATGCGTGCCCATGCACACGTGGGTGCACACGTCAGTGTGTACATGTGTGCCCATGCACATTCTGGTACGCGTGGGTGTGCAGACATGCGTGCACACAGTACATGTGTGTTAGTGTGAACATGTGGACACGTGTGTGCGTGTAGTGTGGGTGCATGCACACATGTGGTGCATGTGCACACTGTACACGTGTGCCCATGCACACGTGGGTGCACACGGTGCAGGTGTATTATTGTGTACACGTGTGCCCATGCACACGTGTGTGCACACAGTGCAGGTGTATTATTGTGTACACGTGTGCCCATGCACACGTGTGTGCACACGGTGCAGGTGTCAGCGTGTACATGCGTGCCCATGCACATTCTGGTACGTGTGGGTGTGCAGACATGCGCGCACACAGTCCATGTGTGTTAGTGTGAACATGTGGACACGTGTGTGTGTGTAGTGTGAGTGCATGCACACATGTGGTGCATGTGCACACGGGCACAAACAAGTGCTCCGGTCTTTGGAACTCGGCCAGGGGCCCTGTCAGTCTCTCTCTGTCTGATGGTGTCAGGCTCCCACTGCAGCCCTGCTCCTTAGGCGGCTGCTCAGCCCGGGTCTGGGCCCGCGCGGTGCAGGGGCTTCTGCCGTGCCCGCCAGAACATTCCGCTGACGCCCCTTATCCGAACCCCGCGCAGACTGAGAGGGAACAGCCGTGCCGCACAGCGGAGGCACCTGCGACATGACGCCCCCGTGGGTGTGGGGCCCTCGGGCGGGGCCTGGCCTTCACGCCCACTCTCACGACTCCCATACTGAGGGCGAAACAAGAGCTAGCGACGTGAGCTGTGAGCGTGGGAAGCAAGACACCCCGCCAGACACAGGGTGAGAGCCAGGGCCCCAGAGGGTGACCGAGAAGTCACCGTGCTGCCCCCTCCTGGTGGTGGAAGTCCAAGCAAGGCCAGTGACGGACAGGTGTCCCACCTGCACTGTGTCCAGCTAAAGCCGCACACTGTGTGTATGTGCATGTGTGTGTGCACACGGTGCAGGTGTATTATTGTGTACACGTGTGCCCATGCACACGTGTGTGCACACGGTGCAGGTGTCAGCGTGTACATGCGTGCCCATGCACATTCTGGTACGTGTGGGTGTGCAGACATGCGCGCACACAGTCCATGTGTGTTAGTGTGAACATGTGGACACGTGTGTGTGTGTAGTGTGAGTGCATGCACACATGTGGTGCATGTGCACACGGGCACAAACAAGTGCTCCGGTCTTTGGAACTCGGCCAGGGGCCCTGTCAGTCTCTCTCTGTCCGATGGTGTCAGGCTCCCACTGCAGCCCTGCTCCTTAGGCGGCTGCTCAGGAAGGACACGTGCAAGGCCAAGCCGGCCCCCTCCCGGGTCTGGGCATTCATCCCCTGCCCACCCAGCAGGCGGGCCGGGCTGAGCTGTGCCTGCCCCGGTCTGCGCTGCGCTCGCTCGCTCACACGGCGCCCCTTTCCTTGTTTCTGTCAACAAGTCCCTGGAGGGCAGCGTGGGACCTGGAGAAGCGGGGTCCTGAGTGGGAACGAGGCTGCAGGGCGTGTTCCCAGGCAGGAGGTCAGGACCTCGTGGGATCCTCCCTCCGGCCTCTGGGGGGCTGGATGGGTGGGTGGCCAGGCCCTCTGTGGGCCACAGAGTCCCGAGTGGCCTCCCGAGTTCTAAGGAGGGGGTGGAATGGCCCCGGGCAGCGTCCCACCCCACACAGGGCCACACCCCAGGGAGAAATGCTGTCAGTAACTGTCAAGAAAGGGACAGAATCTCAGTAAATGGCCCAGACAAACAAGCCTGTTTGAAACTTAGGGGAGCGGCAGCCCAGGGCTCCGGGGAGCAGGGCCTGCGAGCAGCTGGGATTTGCCTTGTAAATAAGCTGACAAGTGGCGACTGAAATTTATGGCCGCGCCGCATAGAATAACAACACCACTGCGCCCGCCAGGAACGAGCAGATGGCGGCTACGGTGGCGGGTGGCGAGGGCCTGCAGGGGACCTTGCCATGACCGTGTCAGCCCTAGTACTCAGCTAAGGAGGAAGGAGGGACCCAACCCTAGTACTCAGCTAAGGGAGGAAGGAGGGACCTAGCCCTAGTACTCAGCTAAGGGACGAAGGAGAGACGCCTGGGCCCAGCACGGGCGTGGGGCTTCACGCAGATGCAGGACGGGAGCCCGGGAGGAACCGGACTGAAGGTGGGAGGCGTGTGTCCTGGGGCGGGAATCCCAGGTCCCCCCAGGCCAGGGCAGCCTGGGAACCTCGCCTCCACCGTGTGACTCAAGGCCCCGCCAGCGCCAGGACGGGGAAGAAGGCAGCCCTCAGCCCTAATTCAGTCTTTTTGTTGTTGTTAATCCTCATCCGGGATATTGTCCCACTGATTTTTAGAGAGAGCAGGAGAGAGGGGGAGAGACCAGATGTGAGAGAGACACATCGATGGGTTGCCTCCTGCACGCCACCTGACCAGGGCCCGGGCCGGGGAGGAGTCTGCAACCAAGGTACGTGCCCTTGGCCGGAATCGAACCCGGGACCCTTTGGGCTGCAGGCCGACGCTCTACCCACTGAGCAACACCGGCCAGGGCTCTAACTCAGTCTTCATGTCCCTCTATCCTCATCTCAACAAGGCCTGCGCACGGAGCTGCAAGGACGGGGTCTCAGGCTCCTTCCTTCCCGCCGCACTCTGACCAGGAGACGCC